GCCATCCCAAATCAGGAGGCTTCAACAATAGCGGAATTGTACTGTACAATATTCTAATAGAGTTTGGGATACCCATGAAACTAGTTAGGTTGATTAAAATGTGTTTAAATGAAAAGTATAGTAAAGTCCGTGTAGGTAAATATCTGTCTGATAAATTTCCTATCCAGAATGGTCTGAAACAAGGAGATGCTTTATCGCCACTCTTTTTCAACTTTGCCTTAGAATATGCAATTAGGAAGATCCATGGAAACCAGGTGGGACTGAAATTAAATGGGACACATCAGCTGTTTGTCTACGCCGATGATGTGAATCTACTGGGTGATAAGGTAGATATCATAAAGAAAAACACACAAACTTTAATTGACGCAAGTAAAGAGGTTGGTCTAGAAGTAAACACATAGAAAACTAAGTACATGTTACTGTCTCGTCACCAAAATAGAGGGCAAAATCATGACATAAAGATAGGTAACATGTTTTGAAAATGTGGCACAGTTTAGATATTTGGGAACAACGATAACAGATCGAACCTGATTCAGGAGGAAATTAAGAGGCGATTGAACTCGGGTAATGCTTGCTACCATTCAGTCCAGAACATTTTGTCTTCTCGTCTGCTGTCCAAAAACATTAGAATTTACAAAATTATAATTTTGCCTGTGGTTCTGTATGGTTGTGAAACTTGGTCTCTGACATTACGGGAGGAACATAGAGTGAGGGTTTTTAAGAATAGGGTGTTGAGGAGAATATTTGTACCGACGAGAAATGAAGTGACAGGAGGTTGGAAGAAAACTGTATAATGAGGAGCTTCATAACTTGTACTCTTCTCCAAGTATAATTAGAATGATCAAGTCAAGGAGGATGAGGTGTGCAGGTCATGTAGCACGAATGGGAGAGACGAGGAATGTGTATAGGATATTGCTGGGAAAGCCAGGAAGAAAGAGACCACAGGGAAGACCAAGGCGTAGGTGGGTTGACAATATTAAAATGGATGTTAGAGAGATAGGATGGGATGGGATGGATTGGATAGATCTGGCTCAGGATAGGGATCAGTAGAGGGCTCTTGTGAACACGGTAATGAACCTCCAGGTTCCATAAAATGCTGGGAAATTCTTGAGTAGCTGCAGAATTGGCGGCTCCTCCAGAAAGGCTCAGCTCCATGAGTAAGCAAGTATAACAGTATCGTTTTTATAGAAATGCAGTGTTCAAAGAACAGTTTCCGAGGAACTAGAAACGCCAATAGAATATAACAGGCATGTCAAACTTCAAACAGGTTGTGATCGACTTTTTAGTGTCAAAACTGCCAGTGATCTACCACCTCCTCCTATCGTCGTACCTCGCTTTAAGCAAAAATATTGTTAAAAATAACATGAAACATGATATCTGTTATAAAAGCAACATACATGGAAAGTATAGACTACTTTAATGCGCGTTTTCCCTTCAAAATCCGAATATAATCATATTATATTACAAGTGAATTTACATGCTTTTCACGTATAATTTCCTTATAGGCCTATGAGATCGGCCAAAAATCGTCCCGCGATCGACGCCTTGGACATGTCTGGAATATAACATTACATTTCCGTGTCGCGTCTTTGAGAAGGTTTTCCAGGAGCAATTCCGCCGTGATGAATTACGGACATCAGAACTTTTTAGGTCAGTATTTGATAAGGTAACACAACGCGTGTTTTAGGTATTTCAGTAGATTTCGAATCATATTAGAGTAGTATAATATCCAAAATAATGCCATGAGATATAGGACTGACTGACATTTCTTCCGTGGCAATTTCAGTGCAATTAATGCACCTGTGTCAGTTTTTT